GAGTTCCGCTCCGACTCTGCTGGGGTGCAGGCCATCAGCGCGATAAAGCCTAGGACACTCCCAGAAAAGATTCCAATTGTTAACAAAGAGAAGTTTCTGTTCTTTACACCATGACAATAACCATGCATTTAAAGCAAAGAGTCTACTGAACCTCTCGTGTCCACATCGATATGTGGGAAGCGGTCCTGACACGATGATCGTCTTCGCGGGCGATGTGCTGCGCACCGTCTCGATCAGGCTCCTGAAGTCCCTCTTCAGTGTCTCCGTCTGCCGCAGCTTGGTGTCGTTAACCCCGGCATGAAGCACGACCGCACCGGAGCTCTCATCGCCTTTCAGGATCGCGGGTATCTGCGCAGAAACATCGAGAACACGAGCACCAGTGGTGGACGAAGTACACAAACCAAGTACTTGAGTTAAAGTAGAGATACACATGGTAAAATATTACTCCAATAAAAGTAAAAGTGCTCCCTTTACACTTTCACTTGAGTAAAAGTACAAAAGTATTTGCCTTCAAATGTACTTAAGTGTCCAAAGTACTATGATTTATTATGGCTATAATATCCTGTTATCATTTTTGTCACAAGACTCTTGCTTAATCAACAATATGTGAAAAGACTCTGATGTTACTCTTAGCACACCAATCTATTAATATAATTATATTAATTAGTCAGACACTTATGTCTATTAAAATTATCATGAGCTCAAAACCTTGAAGCTAAACAATTTCCTTTAGAATCAAATGAAATAACAGGATTTCAGAGCAGGTTTAAATTTAAAGTTTATTTGTAACAGTTGCAAGTTTAAGTTTAATAAAAACTTGTATTAAACACCGGTTCATGAGTTTTCTTTTACTATATTGTATCTGAGTGTCTCTGTGCATAAATATAAACTGGCCATATCAGATTTACTGTAACAGGAACTAGTTTTTGTATCAGAAGAAACACACTTGCCAGTCACAGCTGCATGTGTGTACAAAACTCTTTCAGTCATGCATTTCTCCACAAAGTCAGGAATAATGTTATATCAATTTAGTAATGCTTGGATGTGTGATTGTCAGTGTTTGTGCATTAATTCCTATACTGCTTCACATAAAACCTGGTAAATAAAATAACTTGGTAAATATAAAAAAAATATATTTATAACTAAGGTGACCTCAACATAGTGTGGACATCTCAAAACAAATTACATAAACTGTCATCACAAATGACATGTACTAATATAACAAGCCTCAAATGGCAATGAACAATTTGCGGCAGTAAACATCATTAATCAGCATTCCATTCATTCTGCTTCTGGTGAGTGTGCTAGTGGAGTATGGCACTGATGATCTAACTAAAGTGGCAATATTTTTTGTTCAGCTTGAGAAGAAGCTGATTCTCAAAGTTTTTTGAATTCATTCTTGCCCTCCTGGGACTGAAAATAAGCCCTGCTGTGCTGAATAGACGTTCACAAGCTGCAGAAGCGGGTAAAGCAGTGTTGACCTTCAAAGACAACTTACAGACTGCTGGGAAGGACTTGAGAATTTCTTTGTTATCAGCTTTGCAGGCAAGGTAGCCATCTAACTGCTTGATACCTTCCTGACCATGAGTAGACTTCATGCTTGCAAAGAAGTCCTCTTCCTCAGAGGCACTGGAACCATCAACTGGTGTTTGATTCGAAGTCTCTTCCTCCAGATGGTCTTTGATGTAGTCCAGGCCTGAAATGGACATTTCCACAGACGCTAAGAATCAAAACTTCACTTTAATCATACACATTTCTCCAGATTAAAATATCAACAGAACAGCATTGCCCCACGTATTTCCAAGGTGCATTTAAAACTAACCTAAACAAACTGACAATGTCAAGATAAAATTTGAGTTGAATATCCTTTAAAAATGATTTGGCTCAGTTTCTTTGAATCTTTAACTGATGACACTTTTATCTTACCTAGTTTGACAATGTGTTCATCCGTTGTCCAGGATGTTTTAAATTTCGGGACAAGGATTGCAGCTGCAATAAACTCTGGCTCTACCAGCATGTTTCCAAAGCGCTGCTGCAGGCCTTCTTGGATGGCATCCACCAGAAGTTTGCAGTACCTGGAGGTAATGCGAATTCGGTCCAGTTTCGAGATGAGGAGTGTCAAAGTAGGCAGAAGCCATCCCATCTGAACATCGATTTCAGCCTGAAGAATGTTGAGGGCTTTGGCTAGGGGGCTCATGGTTCTCGCATACTCTTCCAGAAAGGCAATTTCAACTGGACTCAACCTATCACACATTCAGACAACAACAATTAATAATAATATTTATATAATAATAATAATAATAATAATAGTAGTTAAGCTACTACTCAAAGTAATGTGTTTTAAAAAACACATTACTGGAACATGAATTTAAAGGAATTATAAAAAAAAACCACTTACATTGGCAACTTGAGTGAAGTGCAGACAGTTCTGATAGCCCCCTCTCCCTGATCTTTAATGATTCGAAGCACTCTCTCAACGGCAAGAAATAAGGAATTCCACCTTGTTGTGTTGGGGCGGATCAGCTGAATTTTGCACACGTCTTCTATAATCTCTGCTGCTGCCGCAGATCTGCCACACTTATTCCATAGTGCATGGCACTTTGCAAATGCTGACCTGGACAGCTTCTTGTAAGCTTCATTTGAACAGGCTTTGGCTGCATCCACTGTGGAAACCAAGTTTAATAAGTGGCAGGCACAACGATGATGCTTTGGAAGTTGGAATTGTAAGCCATCATCCTCCTCTAAAACAGCTGTGACTTCTACAAAGTCCACCTCGACACTATCCACATCCTCATCATCTCCATCACACATCACATCACTTATCTCATCTTCAGTCTCATCTGAAGCGGAGTTGTTGTTCTCATCTTGCTCTCCGTATATACGAAATGCCTTTAAAAAATTTGACCCGTTGTCCGTAGTAGTTCGAACAACCTTGTTCTGTATTCCAAATTCAGAATGTATGTCATTTAGAGCACAAGCCAAAACATCAGAAGTGTGTGGGCCTTTGAGCTGCCTGCATGCTAGTGCTACTGAGCACCTCTCCAGGCTCTTAGGATCAACCCAGTGGGCAGTGACACCGATGAAACCTCTTCTCCTTGAACTCCAACAATCTGTTGTCGTTGCTATGAAATCTATCTCTGACATTGCTTTTTTCATATTAGTCTTCATCTTAAGTGCTGCCTCATCCATCTTACGTCGCAAAGTGGCCCTTGACATGAGAGAGGTGTTAGGCTGAAGATCCTGCAAGAAAGCTTTAAATGATGGTTGTTCCACCACATTAAAGGGTTGGAGACTCTGGGTCACAAAATTAAAAACTGCATGATCAACATTCTTCTGTGTGACTAGCTTAGTTTCTCCCAATGTCAACTGTCTGGAGGTCGAAGGAGCCTCGTTGCTCTCCATTTTTCTTTTCCTTGGCGCTGTTAGGGCAGTATATCTCTGCAAGTGTCTACCATGCTTTCTCTGCAAAAAGGAAACATCCAAAAAATGAATCCAGATCAGTCTCCCTCCCTTTGAAAAATAAAATAAATATTTCATGTGGTTTTAGCGTGTCATAGATGTAAGCAACAGAGTACAATATTTTCAGCACAGGCTTAGATCAGTCTTTGGAAGCTGAACATTTAAAAAAATAACAATATCGGTTAATAAGGAGCACTCCACTCCGACTGCCAACTGTTTAAGCATTATACGCTGCATGCAAAACTAGGTCAAAATAGAATTTATATTCCAACATAAAGTATTAACATCGATTGATTGTCATTTCACAATACCGGAGCACTCAGCTTCAAAAACTGCAAACTTCGGTAAAAAACCAACTTAACATACACAATGAAACCGTTTTCTGTAAGCTACAGTTAGATTACTCAATTAATTACCTCGACGAGTTTCCTTAGATTTGAAGGAGAATTCTTGTAAGAAGAAATTTTACAGGGCCGAGGCAGGCAGAGAAGACAATTGAAAATTAATGAGTCTTTCTTCTTTCCAACGACTTCAAAAAAATCACGCAAATAAGGCCACGGGTGTTGTGGCAAGTTAGAGTCAGGAGTTTCTTCCATCACTTATGAAGGCACTGGCACTCTCAAAGTGTTATGTTGTTGCACTACCGCTGAACTGTATTCGCACGTAGATACCACTAAGCGGCAACCAAAACAAGTTCAAAACAGAACGCGCGCTGTACCCTGATTGGTGGCTTGTCGTGTGCTCAACCAGTTAAGTTAACTTTTTCCTCTCATAAATAAAAAGGAACGACTGATTTCGCAAAATGTAGTTGAGTAAAAGTAAGATATTTGACTTTGAAATGTAGTGAAGTTAAAGTAAAAAGTCTCCCCAAATGCAAATACTTCAGTAAAGTACAGATACGCGAAAAAGCTACTTAAGTACAGTAACGAATTACATTTACTTCGTTACTGTCCACCACTGACGAGCACCAGGGAAACAGTGGGTGTGCACTTTACCTTCAGCTATCGTAGCACGGACGTGCCGGACGATGGAGTCTCCGAAGATCACAGCGTCGCGTAGGGGAGCGAAGCGGTTCCGGGTGGAGATCTCGAAGCGGGAGAGGTCATCATCCGGGACCTGGCTCGTGTCTTCCGATGCGGGTGCACCCAGGGTACACGTTATAGAAACGAAAATGATGTTGTATAAAATTGATTTTAAGACGATAAATAGACGATAAAGAATTAACTTGACGGAGCTCAAACTCAAAACACACGGCAGCAACACGGCTTTCCTCCCCGAGCCAGAGCATATCAAGATAAGAAGAGAAGCAACGTGTCCAGATTCAAAGCTACATTAAAGTATATCTTGCATTTACATGGAAGAGCAGAAATGGAAGAGAAACAAAAATCAATGAAGAACAAGTTAAATAAATATCAGATTCATGTCTCTCTTAAAAGTGTTACGGCCTCTTCTTCAGCTCCCTGAACTATGCCTTAAAAGTTTTTTTCCACTGTTAATTTTCTGGTGCTCTTTCAGTTCATCATCTGTAGTAAAGGACGTCCTGCACTTAAACACACACCGCCGTGTCTTTTCTGCTGTAATATTATGAATGAATCTTCTCTTTTGTGTGAATCTTCAGGTGTTTCTTCAAGACTGATGCTCAATGAATCTGTTCATGGCACTGATCACAGTTAAATGGTTTCTTCAGAATGAGAAGGCAGATGTGATTTCAGATGAAAGCCTAAGCCGCTTCTTCCCAGTGTGAACTCTCATGTCAATCTTCAGCCTTGATTTACATCTCAATCTGTTTTACACTGAGGGTAGCTGACAGTCTTCTGTTTTTCCTTTCTTGTTCACGTCCATCGTGTCTAAAAGAAACATTAAGTCGTCTGAGATTTCAATAGAGAGACAAATAGTCACATGTGGAGCACACGAGACAAGCTATCCTAAACATGACACTGCTTTATATTAAGAGCTTCAAATGAACTCACAAGCATACAGTTTAACTCCGCTTGCCCTGGGCATTACAGTACAGATGCTATACAGATCGTTTACTCTGACTTCAGATGTGTTTCTTCCATTGCATAACTTACTTTTAACCCCAAAAAGTGTTTTGTTTGCTGAGGGATAAAACATTTGAGAGACCGTGTGGAGAGGCAAAGAAGGTGTAGGTCTCATTTCTTGATGTGCTCGTTGTGAATATTTAGAACTGCCAAAAGATAAAACTTGATATGTTTCACATATTTACAAGATTTAAAAATCTGTTAAGCATTAATTTATTACGTTAATGTTGACATATGAATTTCATTTTTATATGCTTTATAATTTGTCTGTAAATGGTTGTATATCACTTTGTGGCCTGTTTTAGAAAACCAATTCAGTGCTTAATACTCTTAAATGAAAGTTTATATCCCCTCATTTAGTCATTAATCATTTAGTTAGTGAGGGCCCCCCTCTCCCTTCCAATTAAGCTAATAAAAAAATAAAATTATATATATATACGTTTTGGAAAATGGGGGGTTACTCTTATGGTTGTTTTTTTATTTATTTTATTTTTTTTATTTGAGGGCAGAGTGGGGATGGGGCTTTTCAGAAATATTTTTAAAAATATATAAAATTAGGTAATTTGTTACAATAGTCAGTAATAAAACAAGAATGATAAAAATGAATAAAGAAATTACAAGCAGTAGCATAAGCAAATAAAATAGAATAAATATACAAATTAAACAATGCTGTATATTTTTCAGGTTGGTCTAACGGTAGTATTCAGGTAAAAATACCACAGAAATTGAATATTCAAATATAAAATAACTCTGCATAGTCTCATCAGTATAAATTAAATATAGATTCATTCTTATTAAAGTTTTTGTTATGTTTAATTATTATTAATGACACTGACAGCCAGTGATAGTCAGTAGCAGGTTCAAAAGTCTGCCAACACTTTAAGACCTAAAGGACAGAGACAATACTGTTACACATGTTGTTCACATTCACTTAAGACATAACCAACGGTGCTTACATGAAAAGAGCTGCTAAGAAAATAATCTTATGATTTCATCTATATCAGGTATCAGGTATCATAGGTTTATGCCCTATAATGCATCCTGCCACCAGGCGGTTCATACTGGTTCATAAAAAACATTTAGATGTTGGTTTTATTCACAGAACTATAGCAAAACAAAAACAACAAAAGTTATTGAAAAGGAACAATTGATAAAAAGCTTGCAACGCATTACAAAGATTGTGCAGTTTACCGCCCCCTAGAGGAAGATATTGCTCTTGTCTTGACCAAGTTTGACATTCAGAAGTTTAAATAAATTAAGAATGCACACAGTTTGGTATCTAAACGTCAAGGGGTGTGTCTTGTTACTTTTTGAAATAACAATATTTACAGCCATCTTTTACTATCATATGTAAATCAAGATGCATGCTATTGAATTAAAGTTGAGTCTGTTAACATTCATTTTTAAAACACACAGTATTCCATCTCAGCTTCAAAAGGTGTGTCTTGTTACTGGGTCATAGACGAACATTTAAATGTAGGTTGTATTCACAAAACTATAACACAGCACATGCTATTGAAATGTCAACGAATACATCAATCAATGTAAAGTAAATACGCTCTTCTATCTTAACTTCAAACATGTGGATGTTGGTTTTATTCACAGAACTATAAGACAACACATGATATTAAAATTTAAACAAATACATTGTAGGGTCAAAAATTATCAAAGACTTCTGCTTTCCTATCCCAAACCTATCTTGAGTAACAAAAGGGCCATTTGGCGTTCCTGAAGGCACAGGCACGCTCTTCTTGGTGCTCTGCCCTCTCTCCCTCTTTTTCTTCCTCTCTCTATCCCCCCTTCTCTCTATCTCTTTCTCTCAGGTAATATTTTACATACATGTTGGGTACAATTAACTATGCTTTACCATCCTTCATCTATTTTGTAACTAATTCAAGTGTAACCATGACAAAATATTGTTATTAAACCATTTCAATTATTACTTATGTGCTAACTAGTCTTTCAAGTGTAACCATAACAAAATATTGTTATTAAACCATTTCATTTATTAATTATGTGCTAACTAGTCTTAATTCAACATTAAATTTGAAGTGCTACCTATTGCAATACAATATAGTCACAGCAACGCTCTCCCACATATTTAGCTATTCTAACTGCGCTTATTTCCGTCGTCGGTATAAGTGGCAGTGGGTGGTAATAGGCTAGAAATGTACAGTTTTATACCATCGTGCTGATAACGTTTCTTTAGTCATTCGGCAATCCTACAGCCTGAACCACCATACCTTACAGATGGTGCTGAAACCCGGGATCCCTTGCAGTGAGTTTTCTGAGATTTACTTCAGCATGAGG